CCCTCGGGGGTCGCGGCGCGCGCGGCCAAGCACATCACGGCCGCAACCTACAGGCGCGATGACATGGACGGGCTGGCCAAGCTATGGGCAAGAAGGATTGCGGACCTCAAGGCTCAGGTGGTGGTGCCAGGCGGGATTTGGTTCTTCTCCGTCTACTTGTTCGACGGGCACGGCTTCGGGGGCAAGAACATCACGCTCCTGCACGGCCTGGGCCGCCGCCGCGGGTGATCGGCGGCGACTGGCGCATGCCTGCCAGCGGCGGAGGGATCGCCAGCCTGGCGCAGCTCCTCGGGGCCTCAGCGGGGGGGCTGAGGGAGCTGGACTCGTTCGTGGCGTCGCGAGGGCTCGCCTCTTGCGCGCGTCAGGCGACGGCGCGCACGGAGGCGCCCGCGGCCCCCCACTCGCCGATTGAGCTGTGCGTCTCGGGCTTCTCGTTGAACCTGCCCGTCCAAGTCCGACTGAAGTGGGGGAAGCTTCCGACGGCGAGGCAGGCGGGGCGCCTTCCCGAGCCGCCTGCCCACCACTGGAGTTGGGCAGAGGGGGAAGCCCCAACGGGCTTGGGCCTCGTAGGGGCATGGCAAGAGCGCTCAGGAACATGGAAGATGAGCTCTGCGGCCAGTACGACCTCCGAGGGCCAGCTGGCGCGAGGCATCGCGGCAGGGCCGACGGCATGAGCCCCCGCACCGTCGCGCTGGACGCGCTGGTCAAGCAGCGGCAGCTGCCAGGCCAATCGGAGGCCGCCAGGGCTTGGAGGTCCTTGGGCGCGGTGCTGGGCAGGGCGAGATCGCTCTGGAACGGCCGCGCGGGCTTCGGCCTCAGCGGGGAGGGCGGCGCAGGGTGCGAGCGGGCAGCCGCGGACGCGCGGGTGGTCGATGCCTCCCGCATCACCCAGCTCGCCGCCGACGCCGCCGACGGGCGGGTGGCCGATGCCGCCCGCGGTTCGAGCACCGCCTCCCCGCATGGCCAGGACGCATTCGAGGTTGCGCTGCCGCCTGGCGGACGGCCCTTCCCGCGGGGGCGCGGAGCTGGTTACGCCGCCCATGCGCAGCTGCAGCCTGGACCTGGTCGCGGGCCCCAGCCCTCTTGGGCTAGGGGGAAACGCGCACCCACGCGACGTTCCCAGGTGCTGCCTTGAGCGGAAGGCTTGGCAGGCGAAGCGCGCCCCTCTGGTAGCGCTGAGCCGTCCTGCGTGCAAGGCCACGCCGAGGGCCCCATCGGGATTGGAGCGGCCAGCGCCGCAGCAGGCAGCCCGAGAGCTCAGTGCTTCTCCCCATGTTGGTGGGGGGAGACTCGGGTGCAGCTGACGCCGCGGAGCAGCTGCGGGCGTGGCCTGAGGAGCTACGCGGCCACGCGCGCGACCTCCACGCTGCCTTCGGCCGCGAGGCCGACGGCCGTCTCGGGTTCAGTGAGCTGACCGACTGCAGTTTCGCGGCCCCTGGGCTCGGAGCGGCGCTGCTCGCCGGCGGGGTCAGCTTGGCCGAGGCCGAGGAACGCCTTCGCGAGCACGCCGACGCGATCGGCAAGCAGCAGCAGCAGCAGCTGCAGCAGCAGCAGCAGCAGCAGGCCGCCTGGCACCGCTGGCGAGACTGGGCCAGCGGAGCGGTGTTCAAGGGCGGTGCGGAGGCGCACAGGCGCAGCCAAAGCCTCCTCTGCCCTCGACGGGCCTTCCGACCCCGACGGGGCCCCGTTGCAGGGGGGCGTTGCTGTGGAGGCGCTGCTCGCCGAGTGGCAGGCCAACCGGCAGGCGGGCAAGTCGCCGCTCGGAGCTGAGGCGCCCGCGGCGGCGGAGAAGGGGGAGCTCCCGCTGGCCAGCCTGGCGAGCCCCAAGCGGGTGCTGGGCCGCTTCGCCCACCGCACGGGGCTGTGCAGCGACTGCGTCAACCCGCGGTCATGGCTCCTGTTGCCCGACGAGTTCTTGGTGCGCAGCATCGACTTCACTGAGTTGCGGGAACGTGCGCCCTCGCGGTCTGCCCTCTGGCCCACGCTGATCATCTTCATCGAGAGGGGTGGAGGCGGTCTCAGGCCGATCGCGCCGATCGCCAGCTTGCTACGGGCGTGGGCCCGCCCGAGAGCGGACTGGGCCCAGCAGTGGGGGCGCGACCACGGGCTTGCAGCCTTCTGGTGAGTACGGGACAAGTCGTGCGACCGCGCTGGCTGGGAGCACAACGTGCTGGGCTACCACGCCCACGCGCTCGGCATGGAGTCAGGCCCCCTCCTCACGGACCTGAAGAAGGCGCACGAGTTCGTGTCGCACTCCGTCTTGGGCAAGGGGGCCCAGGAGGTCGGGTTCAGCATGCGCGCGCTGCGAGCGGCGTGCACACAGCACAGCGGGCCTCGGGCGATCTCCTTCCAGGACTGCTGCAGTGCTGTGGTCGCGGCAAACGGCGGGACGGTCCTGGCGGGCTGCAGCCTGGCGACCACGATGGCCAAGGTCATGCTCTACCGAATGTTTGTCAGCCTCGGTCGCGATCACCCGTCGGTCGCGGTGCGCAACGTTGTGGGCGACGTGTTGGCGCAGTGCATCGGGACGGCGAGGCACGTGGCTGAGCAGCTGAGAGCAGTGGGCCGTGAGCTCGCAGCAGGCTTCGCTGACCTAGGCCTCGTGCTCCAGGGCAGCACGAGTTTTTTCTTGCATCCTGCCAATATGTCGCCGACCGCTTGCCCGTTGAATGGGAGGCTCTTGGGTTCAGGCGTCGGGGGGTTGCGCGTAACCCGGGCACAGATGCGGCGACGGCTGGCAGGCGCAGAGCCCCGATAGCGTCGGCAAGGATTTGCAAGGGGTTTCGCCGCGCGGGGCGCCTCAGAAGATTGCGCGAGGATGGTGCGAAGATAGGGGCGGTGCACCGCTCGGGGCCCCAGGCGGCCTGTCTCTGGGGCTCGGCGGTCGCGGGGCTGCCTGGTAGGAAGCTCCACGCTCCTCGCTTCCAGGCCGTGAGCAGTCTCTTTCGAATGAAAGACGGCCTCCACGGGCCTCCGCCTCCTGAGCTCCACGCCTGGGGCCCAGCTCGACCCAGCCAGGTTGCACCACGGTGAAGTAGTGCACATGTGGGCGCGCGCCGTCTGGGAAGGGCCCCCGCCCTTAGACAGTGTCCAGGCCTGTTTCGTGGCAGCCCGGGGCCGCCTCCAGGCGGCCGCCTCGACATGGGGGGCCGCCACCCCCCTTGCCCATGCATGGCTGCTCTCACTCGCGGATCTGGGGTGGAGGGCGGAGTCGGTTGTCACGGAAGGAGGAGAGCAGCTAGATTTGCTTACGCTTTCGCCCAGCCTAGTTCGCCAGCTCGCAGAGCGAGCGGCCTCGGGCGCATCAGATGTAGCCTCGCTCGCCAAGCACCAGCGCTCGCGAGCCTGGCTCAGACCGGTTTTTGGCGACCGCTGCGGCGATTGATGGAGGGGCCAGAGTCGTCATGTTGGTCGTCCCACCACCAGCCCTCGCTCCGCTCGTTGGCGTCTCAGACTCACTGGCCACAGCAGCGGATGTACGACCACGGCCTGGCTTCTTCCAATGTTTGTCTAGCGTATGCAGGAGCTTCAGGCACGCTGATGCATCGCAGAATTAATTGCCCTGCGTTCGAGGTCGGTAGGCGGGCTATGTGCAGTCTGCCCGTCAGGTCGGTCATGAACCAAATTCGAGAGCGGGACATGGAGTCAGAGCTCGCTGCTTGCGGCCTCTTCCCCTCGCCCCTCGACCTGCCCCCTGCCCCGATTGTCTCGTTCGACGAAGCTTGCCAGACCTGGTGGGTCAATCGCCCTGCGTCTGGGCTTTTGCAGGGCATGGTGTTCACTGACGGATCTGCCCTCTTCCCCTCTTGTGGGTACTCTCGGCTCGGCGCGCGGGTTGGGGTCTCGCGATGACTGGTGAGTTGGGTAGGTTCCAGGCTGGGCGTTTCGGTGCAGCCCCAGCGGACCTGGCCCCGTTTCAGCAGGCCCGTGACGGAGAGGATACCGCCTATTTCTTTGCGTGCGAGTGTGTGCAGGAACCTATCGAGCTTTGCACCGACTGCCAAGGAACGATCGACTGCGCGTTGTCTCAGCCGTTCGCAACCTGCTCGTCGAATCCCAGAGCGCACCTCTGGGCGAGAATTCATGCGAGGTTCGACTTGGGCCGAGTGGCCTACAAAGTCAGAGGCCACTCGACGATCCACGGTGCGTGGGCTGGGCGGGTGATGGAGTGGGAGCGGGCGGGACATGGTCTTGCCGACAAATTCGCTCGCCGCGGGGCTGCCTGCCACCCCTCGACAGCGTCGGTCTGTTCAGACATCCAGGCCCTGGACAGCCTGGTCCAGGAAGCTGTCCGCTGGGCTGCTCAGCAGGAGGTCCGCCTGGCCGAGACGGCCAAGGACTCCGAGGCTCTCCCGCGGGCGGGGGCGCGGGAGGAGGAAGAGCCGCGTTTTCGTTCGTCGGGTCTGCCTCCCCCGCCCCTGCCTTGCGCTCTGGTGACGCGCGGGCGCGGCCGCTTCAAGCCCCAGAGCCTCCACGCCAGCGGCTCTCGAGAAGATCCCGAGTTGTCGCTGCTGCTGCAGCTCCTCGGCCCTCGATTGCGCGCTGCAGCTGTTCTCGACCCTCACGGGGCCACCGTCCTCTCGGGGCCCACCGCCCTCGTCTGCATTGCTTGCGGGGGGCACGCGCGGGGGGGGGGGCGTCGCTTCGCTGGCGCGCCCGTGCGGGGGCAGGCCGCCCACCAAGCACACGGGGCGGCAGCTGGCGAGAGCTTGGAAGGGGGCGTTTCCCGTCGTGGGCCCCGCGGCACGGAGGTTGGAGGCTCGGGCCCGTGCGGGGGCCTTCCTCGGGCGACCTCCTGGCCCTGGCGGCCCTTCGGGTGCCTGGTGGGGCGCGGGCCGTGCCCAGGGCCCTGGAGCCCGTCTGGGGGACGCGGTGGTCCCGTGAGGAGGTCCTTCGAAGGTTCGGTGTCTCCTCAGACCAGCTTGAGTTTTGGAAGGTGCGGGAAGGGAACTCGAACCCTCCTGAGGAGGACGAGGACGAGGACCCCGCACTCCTTCGAG